CCCAATTACGCCCCTCCAAGTGTCTCTATCATTGCCCAAATGTGCGTTGAAGTCTCCCAGCAAGATTAAAGAGTCCCCTTTAGGAACCCCATACAGGACTCTTTCCAGGGTCGAATACTCCAACAAAGAAGCACCCAACTGTGGGCTTGTGAGTATCCCCACCCGCCCGGCGCCTCGCACCTTGGGCAACTCCGGAGAAGAATAGAGTCCAACCCCTATCCAGAAGTAAGGTTCCAGAGCCGACGCTGTGCGTAGAGGTGAGCCCAACCAGATCCAACTGGTAACGCTCCACCTCCCGCACAAGCTCCGGCTCCTTCCCCCCCAGAGAGGTGACGTTCCACGTCCCCAAAGCCAGCTTCTATCGCCCGGGTCTGGTCCGTCGAGACCCTCTGCCTTCACTGCCACCCTTCTGGCAGCGCACCCGACCCAATCGCTGTTTATCGTAGGTGGTGGGCCCGCGGAACGGAGAAGCGGAGGTGTTGCCCACGTTGCCTTTTCGGGCTGTGCCCGGCCGGGCTCCGTGGCAAGCCCGGCCACCAGACGCTCGCCGACGAGTCCTCCTTCTGGGCCTGGCTCCAGAATGGGACCCCGGGCTTCCTCTGGGCCGGGTATCCTCACTTCTTGTGTCTTATTTCATGAGGTCTTTGAACCAATCAGGCCCCTTGCCTGAGACCAATTTGCCATGGGAGACCCTACCAGGAACACAAGGTTCCAGACAACACAGCCCCCAGGTTCATCAGGGCACACAAACCTCTCTACCACGGTAAGGTGCTGGTTCTTCAGAATCAGCACCTTACCGTGGTGGAGAGGCTGCTGGTTATTTCTGATCTTCTTTATTTCAAATGTATTTGTTATTTGAAGTCGTGCATGATGTCTGCTTATTTCTGCCGTTTGAGCTCTACATCCACGATTCACTTTGTTCACTTGTTTTATTATTATTATTATTAATAATGGACATGTTCCCCTTTAATTGTGTTATTTCGGTGAGTGGTTCTGCTTTGTGAAGCCCCTGAGCAAGTGTTATTTGTGATACTGGGTTATATAAATAACATGTCCTCTCTGTCCTGCAGGCGGCTCAGAGCTGCAGTTCGCTGGAAGACGGAGCCTCGCCGCCTGCTGACGGAGGAGGAGTTCCAGCGGGAGGCGGAGGAAGAGACTCGTAAAGCTCTGGAGGATCTGAGGAAGAACTGCAGCAGCCCCGAGTTCAGGTCCTGGAGGACCGTGGCCCGCCTGCAGTCCCCCAAAAGGTGCCGTCCTCTCCCTCTGTTTCTCAGTGCAGATTATTTAAAAGCGCCTCGGCTAATCCTGTTAAATCAACGGAGCGTCGTGCCTAAAACCCGGGTCCTCTTGTATTTATTAAGAAAACAAGAAAGACCATATTCTTTATTTACCCACAAGGGAGAATCCAGTTTTACTGGGGTGATGTGATACTTTGATTTATTCTGTGTGACTGGCGGAGCCACACACAGTCTAGTATTCAACATACTTATCTCACTTTTATTCTCCTTCTTCCGCCACAAATGTTGTCATGCTACTCGCCCGGCAGCGTTGACACGAAACACACAAATAACACATCAAAACGTCCGGAGTGACCGGGATCGTGTTGCTATGACTTTTATTAGAGATTCGCCTAGCCGTTTTCACGCAAATCACAGAAAACTGCGATCATTTGCCCGATAGGAATGAACGGGAAATCCATTTGAACAGAGCTCAAAAACACCGCACTTTGACCCCAGACAGATTCCACATATTTTAACGTAGAACAAAAATTACAAGTTGAAAGGGTTCTCGAGACTATGGACTTTATTAGTCTAATTGGATATGTTTTGATAGCGAGTACGGTTCTCATGTAGTCGCAGTTTACGTTTTGTGAAAATATGACTTTATTTATTTGTAATTCTTTTTGTTATCATTAAGGTTAAAGGGTTCATATGTCAATGTTTACAAATTGCTTGATCATTAAATCATGAATGCTTTATTGATTAACCTGACTTGCATGATTAATAAAAAGGTTGTTTTTGTTTCTAAAGGTAATTTATTAACTCTCGCTTTCAGGCTGTCTGCACAGTTTGATTGGAGGTATATTAATATTGATCCGTCCATAACACCTCTCAGAGATCAGTGTTTATATTTCTTTGTACTGTTTCTGATTCTGATTCGATGTAAAGCGTCTTTGAGCACCAGGAAAAGCACTATCACAATTAAATATATTATTATTATTATATTTATACGTGTGGTTTGTAGCACCGTGGTTTCTTATTACAGAGTACACCCTGTAGGGAGTAAAACTCTAACACAGAAAAGACCAGTCTGTGCTGCCCCAGAACGCCTCGTTGGACATTTCTCTTTTTTACATTGTTTGCTTCCTGGGTTCTGTGACGTGCCCATACCCAAATGGCCGTTACGTTAAGTCCGTGGAGCCGTTACGTTAAAATGAATAGTGAAGATTGAGTGTGTGTGAGGAAGTCCGTGGATTGGGGGGCAGGAGCTCCAACAAGCCGTGTAGGACAGAGAGTGAATACACACACTACACAGAGATGCTGTTTGAGAAACCAATGTGAGTTTGGAACATTGAACAATGTAAATCTATTGTAGTAGACCTCAACTATGGAATTATGATCCGTAGAAGTGGCCATGACACGGGACCTTTAATATCTTTCATGTTTGTAAAGCACTTTGAATTGCCTCGTGTTGAAAGGCTCTATAAATAAACTCGCCTTAGCTAGGGCTGCAAACTGTATATGAATGTAATATAATATCGTGCCGTATCGTTGCTGATGTGTTTTCCCTCCTCAGGTTTGCAGACTTCGTGGAGGGCTCTCCTCACCTGGTGTCCAACGAGGTGTCGGTGCACGCGCAGGAGTACGGCTTCGGAGGGTCCTTCTTCGAGGAGGAGTTCTTCGACACGGACGACGAGGAAGACGACGACATGAAACCTCTGGAGATCCCGGAGTGAGACGACGCTTTGTGGAGAATAAAGAGACGATTTAAGTATTGCCTTTCAGGACAAACGATGAGAGGAGAGCCGCTCTGCGCGAGCTAACGTCCGGAGAGAGGAGGACACGGATCGTGGTCTCCAGAGAAATGACAGGAAGTGGAGCGGTCTAAAGACGAAGTGATGTAGCTTCAAAGGATGTAAACAAACTCTTTGTTGAGGGAGAATCTGACGGTGATCGGGAGCGCTTTCTTTTGGAGGTCAAAGCTAATGTTTCACTGCGTGATGGCAGCGTGTACGGGCCAGAGAATGCAAACACTTGAGGAAATAAAAAGTGGGTTTTTTTCTGATTAAACTCGATTTATCTTTTATCTCAATGGGAATAAATTCTGCTCTGTTTTTCTGAATGACTGAAAAATCCCAAAAGAAGCTTTTCCTGATTTCCTAGAAGTCCCACCTCGTTACTTCTGCCAGGTGTTCAGCCCTGATCGTTGCTGACGCATCTTTTTAAGTCTCTGATTCATCAGGAGTTAGTGGTCACAGATCAGAGCGTGTCTGTGTTGGATTGAGACTCAAGTGTCTCCCAATATCTACCAAACAAAGGGGTTGCATGGAAAGCTTCTTTGCATGAGACGTACCCTTCAACTGAGGCTGAATATGTGCCTTCGTTCATTTATAAATAAGAAGACTTGCGATTAATAATCCCCCATCAGTTTTGCAATTCTGCTTTATTTGTTTTATTGAACATTTGACCCTAAAACCAATAAATACAGTCGCTTTTCAACTCTAAAAGTCCCAGATTATAAATATATTAGAGTCTTTCTTTAAGTATTTATCACGCATTATTACTACAGCGGTGTTTAGTCAGCCCTGCCGATGTTTCCCGTTAATTCAGAAAAACAAACAGTATTCATTTCCACGATTTCTCCAAACGTTGAGATGAAATAATCTCTGTTTCTTAAATAAATGCTTGACGCTGTTTGTGTTGTCTTTAGCTCAGGAGAGGTGTTTACGTTCAGTGTGTCTGACTTTTGTTTGTGTTTCACTGTTTTCAATTTAATGGACATAAACACAGGAAGTGTCCCCAAAGTATTTTGAATAAAAGAATATGAATTGAGCTCTGACGTGTTTCCATTAGCATCATTGTGAGGTAATGAAAGATAAGGAAAGTCCACGAGGCTTTGGGTAATCACGCATGTCTCACTTGAAGCCATGAAGCTGTTATTTAAGTGGCTGCAGAGGAGATTTCTGAAGTTGTGCAAAGTGATTTACTCTCTGCTCCGTCTGTGTCCGTGTAACACGAGGCAATCAGATGGAAACATTATGCATAAAAGAAAATGCACAGTTACAACGTCTCAGGAGCTGCACCTATTCATCGTCTTGACCATCAGATCCTTCACATGATCAATGAAGGGTCTCCATAGGGTCTCAAACTCAGGCTGTCTAGCTCTTAATATATAGGATATCTCGTCCAATGGGAGGCCTGACAGCATCCGTGGCAGCCAATGAGTGATGAGTGACTTTTCCCAAAACAATGCCATAAAGGTTTTGGCGTAGAGCGAGCTGAGGACTCTCTATATTCATATAACAGATCTTTGGATCCAGTGAAACCTGCTTTGAAATTATAATCTCTATCTCCTTCGAGCCTGAATGAAAATTCTCCTATTTTTGGCTGTTTTCCACCAGATTGAGACTTGAGTTTCTTGGTGTTTTTCACAACAACAAAATGCCCAAATTCAAAGTATTCTTGCTAATCATTGGCGAGTTACACACTGTGAAGAATACATAAATGTAAAAAATGCATCAAAGTCAATGTTGGAGCCAATTTTACACATAAAAAATACTTTATTGTTTATTCATAATAATATCGTCCTCTTAGGTATAGCTTTTTTAATGTTTTTTTTTAAAGAAATACAAATAAAATATATTCAATGGGTCTGGGGATGTTCTGATTCTGCAGACCCTCTCTCCTCGCACTATTCTAACTATTGTATCTGTGTTATTGTGTTGCTCTGTTGGAGGAGCCTGAGACCTCAGTTTCTCATTGATATATCTAAACTGTAGCTATGTTCAAATGACAATACAAGCCTTGAACCTTGAATCTCACCCCATGGCATTTCCCCTTGCACTGTGCCCCCTCTTGTGGCGGAAAGGAGTATTACACGTGGAGCTTATTTTAATACTTAATTCATAATGAAACGAACTAGACTTGATAGCAACATGCTAACTGGAAGAGCAGCAGGGCACTATAGCAATGCTAACAGCTA